GAAAAAAAAGTACGTAAACCTGAGTAATGACATATAAAATTTTTAAAGTTATAAAATTTTTTTGAGTAAAATATAAAAAAAAATTATCTTGTCCTATGTGTGATAGCTCTATCGCTTCCTTGCTCAACAAGTTTTATATGTGATGTGATTTGTCTCCTACGTGATGGACCAAAGGTAAGCACCCCTCTCAGGGTCGAAACCTCGCAGCCAAGTAGGACAAGGTTCCCACCAGCGGAGCATTGATGTAGGTCGTCGGCTCCGACTGCGAATAGTCTTCCCGGTTGTCGGCGAACTTGTCGTTCTCGTCTGGCCCTCCGACCACGGCGCCCGTCAGTTCGTTAGGGTTAGGTTTATCATCGTAGTAGAACTGGAAGCCCTCGTCGCAGCCGATGGCTTCTGCGTTCAACCGGAAACTGGGGATCGATGAGCCGCGGTGGTGGATGCGCTGCGGGAACTCGTCGCCGTACCCGACCATGTACGACATCCTGCTCGGGTTATCTCCCAAGATGTAATCCACCTGATGCAAGCAGCAGAACTCAGCTCCTCAGGTGTGGAGTACGTTCATCAGCTCAAGGCGTGCACTCGATACCTGTCTCTTCACCAGTTTCCTTAGTCTCAAAGAGGTGACGACCGCATCCCCACACTTCATGGTTTGGCTGGAGGTCTTGAGGTACTTGGCGTAGGTGGAAAGCAGGAAGGTGGTGGATGTCACGTACTGCATGTTGCTTCCGTTCAACATGTACAGAAGCCCGCCCGGTGTGTAGTTGACAATCACCGATGGGGATTTCGGTAGCACATTGCACACGAGCCTCTCTGCTTGCTCGCGGAACCCCGACGCTGCTTCGTTCTCGTCCACCACGGATTCCTGCAGAGAGTTTAATTTATATTTTATTAAAAAAAAATCTGATTAGTTCAGATATATTTTTCATATGTAATAAGTTGTCACTTTATAATAAAAAAAAAGCAGATTGAAAATCATGATTGAATATTCATCTCTATAAATACGATAATTTATCAAAAATATTAATATTATTTTTTTCAGAATTATTATCTTTTTCGAAATGATTTATCATATTTTTTATTTGATACGATCATGTTTATTTATTTTTATAATTTTTTTAATTCTTATATTTGGGTTTACTAAAAAAAATTGTAATAGATAATGAATTAATAAATTGAGTTCTTTATTCCTGAGAGCTAATGAATCAATAAATTGTAATGGATAATGATAATATATATTTTATTCTCTTTCTATTTCTTTATTATCAACAAAGAAATCTCTGCTACTATTGTTTTCCTATCTTGACAAAGCTCAAAAGGTTTAGCAGATGAGTGATGTACTCGAGCAAGAAGCACTGCTGCACCAGGAATCTTGCTGTCCCAGCTGAACGTCTCTGAATTGTAGTTGATGCCGAGAGACTGAGCGAATCTCAGGTAGGAAGAGTTGCGGGTGGCCTTGTACAGCCATGCAGCTCCCCAGAGAAGCTCATCCTAAACATTTACTATTCCATCAGTGTCTCTTCCACCTAAATCTGATGAGAAGTAAAATCTTACTTGAAACCCAGAGTAGGAGCAGTAGAAGGGGCAGACGACGGACGAGAGGGAGTCGCTGTAGTTTCCTCGGTACTGATCAGCGAACGCGAAGGCCTTCTTCGCAGTCTGTAGCAGCTTCTTCGAGTACCCCACGTCGACGTGCTTGAAGACGAGGGAGGCGGCCGCTAGCGCCGCTGCTGTCTCGGCTGCAACTTCGGAGCCAGGGGTGGAAGGAGTCACCTTGAACACCGACCGCGGGGTGCTCATGTCCTCCGGCCGCTCCCAGCAGTCATGGTCGGCTTTTGGGTCACCGACCTGCCATGGATTCATTGCGCCGGATTGAGTCTGGTGGTACAGAACGAGCTTAAGATACGTGACAGGTTGGAGGTGCAGACTTGAACGTAGAGAGCGGAAGGAAGGGGGGCGGAGGCCTTGAGGAGGTAGTCGGTGCCCCAGCGGACTGCTTCTCGAGCATGATTTAGTTCCTTGGGCATCCACCTCCCAAATTCCAGCACGCTCCATGCAAGCATGGTGGTGGTGAAGGCCATGGGGAGGCCAAACTTGACGTTGTCTCCGGCGTCATAGTAGCCCCCTGTCAAGTCCACCTGAGAAAAAAAAAAATATATATATATAGAGAGAGAGAGAGAGAGAGGTTAATTCACTGAAACGAGGTGGTGATAAGTATGACGACATCCGTGCAGTGCCGTGGTGACTAGTGAAGGCCAAATCCTACGTTTTCTGCGTAGCCGTCGGTGAGGCCGGAGTTTGCTCGCCAAGTCAAGGACTGGTCCGGTGGGAGCTTACCGGACCGCTGGCCCTGGAAGAAGAGAAGCGACTTGGACAGCGCGTCGTGGTAGTCGGGATCGCCGGAGACTCCGCCGGAAGCTAACGCGATGAGAATGGCAAGAGCCACGATCTTCTCCACCTCCATCTTTGCTCTGCTATGGTGGTGAGATTGGGGATGGTACTGTGCCTTTTAGGAGTTAGACATGGGAGGAGATGTTAGAGGCAGTTACTTGTGTGTGAAGGTCAGCTATTTGAGGGAAGGAAAAGCTAAAAAAAAACTAGAGAAAGGAGAAGAAGTAGAAGAGGTCCCAATTGATGGGTTATTTATGGAGTGACCAAATGTGGAGAGAAGTTAGAAGTTTTGAAGCCAATGGATCAATGAACATTGTTGTTGTTATTATTGTTATTGTTATTATTATTATTATTATTATTATTATTATTATTATAAAAATGCCAAATCAAAAATTGGAGATGAGAAAAATCTGATTCGTATGCATCTTAACTTAAGCAATAAAAATATTGAAGTATGGTAAGTCAAAGCTCACTCATTTAGTTGAGGAACTCACTTGAGTGATCATTCTTGTGGGTCACGTTGTTGACAAATCGAACTATGAGTCTACTTACAAGTTAGCTTGAGATTGATTGAGCTTCAACAGGGTTATTGATGATTGAATTTGGAAGAGAAGATGAGGGGAAAGAAAGATAGGGGAGTCGCTCCAAGTCCTCCAACTCCTAATAGGAGAAGAATTTAGCCTCCTATCACTTATATCTTATATGAGAAACAATTTAATTTATTAAATTATTCTTTGAAGATGCATTATAATGTTTTAGTCTTTTTTATATGTTATATAAAGAAAAAACTTAATTAACTAATTCATTCTTGGATGATGCATTTTGATGTTCTAGTCTTTTTATAAGCGTAAGCACAAGAAAAAAACAAGTAAAACATAGAAATAAAAAATTATAATTATATCAAATTAAATATATAATCGGTTCTATCCTCTAAAAATAATATTATTGGCTTACTTGAAGAAAAAAATTTCCTTCTTGATGATATTCCTAATCAAGATATTTCGTAGAAATGAATAGTTAATATTTTAAAATCTTTAATTAAGATCAATTTTTATTTTTTAAATTTGTTTTCTTTTTTATCTCCTATTGATTTTGGTACATGACAACTTATTACATATCTAAAATATTTTTAAATTATTTAAATTTATTAAATAATAAAGAAACTAAATTAATTAAATATGGCTACTTACATATTATCCCCTATAGTTAGGTCTTTTTAACATCTCATTTAAAAAATTTACATTAGAATCTTTATAATTATGAAAGTATAACATCTATCTCCACTCACCTTAGTGTTGTTAGTTTTACCGATGAAAGCACAAGAATAATGAGTAAAAAGATGATTTCAATATCCCAATTATGTTTCGATGGTGGTAGACGATCGTCGCTAGGAGCTGCGAGTGGTTGTTGTAGAAGAGAAGAGAGAACAACGATAAGAGATGAGGTAAAGGGAGAGGAGGAAGAGAACAACATAGATGTCGAGCTGTCCTTTTGCCGCTCTGCATCTGCGTCGACGTCAATACAATTACCAAGCAACACTAATACAAATGCAGAGCGACGAAAGGGCAACAGTCTACTATAAACTAGACCCGACCTTCCTTTGTTGGGTCTAGGATGCATTTGTCCATAGCACCAACTTCTTTGTGGCTTGTTATGTCCGCTAGGTCACTTGTGCTGCTTACCACTCCCTTGACACTTGCTGTTGCATCTTCAATGCAGGTTCATTGTGGGTTTGCTCACTTTGCACTTCCTGTGATCTTGATCCTACTACCTCTCTTTCGCACTCCATAGCCTCCTCGTCCTTTACCTCTTGCCTCTCCATCTTTGAGTCCACAACAGCACGTCAGGCGAAGAAGCCCACAGATCCTTGATGGATGGCCATAAAGCGACGACACGAGGAGGTTAAGGAGAGGGCGAAGACTATTGTACTTTAGAGCCAGAAGATGGGGTTACGAAGTGGCGTCGACAAAAGGGCCATTCGATAACTACATCGTTCTCTTTCTTCTCTCTCTTTGCCTCATCTATTGTTGTCGCTCTCCCTCATCCACGATAGCCACTCATTGCCTCCTATGATATCGTCATTTGCCACTATTGAAAAAGTAACTAAGATATTGAAATTACCTTTTTACCTATCGTTTTTTATCGACAAAACCGATACCGTCACTATGCTCACAAGAACTTGACAAGGCTAGAAATCGAGACAAATTTAATGAACCAAAGTGTGTGTATTTACAGGTATTCCCTTTCTCCATATCTTCTGCATTTTTATCTCCACTTTTTCTTCTCCTCTATCTCTCATCCTCCTAAACCTAAAGATTAATTGGCCTCCATCGAGCATGGCATCTTGATCTCAGTATTTACGAAGATGCGATGCATTCTTTGGAGTGAGCGTATCGCTGATCATCATCTGCACGTCATCAGCTACCTCAAGATCGAATCCACGAAAGTGTTGTTAATTCACAGGGAGTACCGAGAAGAAGTTTCACGAGCCAGGTAGCTGTATAAATTTCTGAAGGTCTATCACCATGACTGTAATGTCATCTCGGTTGCCCCTCCTGCAGGAGATTTCTATGAGGTCTCTGCATGACTTCATGGCGTTGCTTTGCCTTGAGACGACATCAACTGCCTCCTGGTTTTCGACCTAATGGAATGGTACCACAATGTGTTAAGAGTTGCACCACTGAAGGTTTAGGTGGTAAATGTGAATTATGAGTGCAGCAGATCAGTAGTGGTCATATGTATACCTTATCCCACAACCCATCTGAGGCCAGTATTAAGAACTCACACTCTGGAGTTAGCTGAAGACTCTTTGTTTCGGGCTCAGAAATGATCCATTCCTTCATGTTCAGGTCGCCGATTGCTCTTGACACAGCTAGAGAGTCCTGCACCCTCCATATTCCATTGTGACATGTCACATAGCCCCCCTGTGTGGAGTTCAGAATATTGTCAGCTCACTAAGCTACAAGATGAAGACCCCTAAATTGATGAGAAAGAGAGAACCCCATGTTAAGTTCAGAATATTGTAAGCTTAGTAAGCTACAAGATCAAGACCCTAATTTTCAGGGAGAGACAGAAAGAGTTCAGAATATTGTAAGCTCACTGAGCTACGAGATCAGAGAGAGAGAGAGAGAGAGAGAGAGAGAGAGAGAGAGAGAGAGAGAGGAGAAGAAGAAGAACTTACAGAGTTCTCAATGCGAATGCGCTCATCTTCTCTACCAGCTCGGTGGTCATCAGTAAGAGCATCTGCTACTCCCTTCCTGCTCATAACCACCCTGCAGTCGCCCACATTAGCCACATGTAGTTCTCCATCTTTTAGCAACACAGTGGCTGCACAAACTCCACTACTAACACCCTGCAAATGAAAGGAAACATCCATCGTCAACTATGATAGTTTGGTAATGGTTGTCTTCACAGCAATGACACAGATCTCATGCAAGTAAAATGTTTGTTGTAGATTTGAGGACAGTGGATAAATGTTGAATTGTGTTTTTATAGTATTGTAAAAATAAAATAATACCATGAAATTTTAACATCATGAAAGGATCTAATTTCTATGATGTTAAATTGATTTGATGCTGATCATTTGATTGATGGTCAACGCAATAAAGGAGGTCCTGTTGGAATTCAAACTAAAAGAGATTGTCAACGCAATTGAGGTTATCCATTTGATGCAAGTTCGAATGCTTCAAAGTGCTTTGTATCTCCCAGTTGGGGGCCACACACCTGACTTAGGAAGTCTCTGTCCGTGGTCAGATAGCCTGCTTTTATTGCCGTGTCTGCTTGATTGTCTTCCTTCTCTGGCTCATCTAGAGCTGCCACAATGTTCTTCCCAAGCGTCTCAGAGACGAAGTCCACAGCGGCACGCCCCCCATGCCCATCAAACACTCCAAAAAAGGCCTGCAGATGAGTAACACCAGCAGCTTAACATGGAGAACATGTCAAACTTGTGCAACAAATAATAGTGCAAGAGAAGGAAATGGACAATTTGGATCTTCTGTTTCACAAGATAAAAAGGCCATGTCTTGGTCCTTCTGCAACTCGTAATGTTATGTTTGAATCAGTCCAAGCCATTTAATTTGCATCAACACTATCAGATCAGCAAGACTAAGACATCATGAGAAATTCTATCTGTATATGCTTCCTCCATCATAAAAAAACAAAAAGGCAATTGTTCCTCTAGCAACTGGGAGTAATAATGTCATTAAACTTGTAGATAAAGACAGTAAATTCTTATGAGAAAATAGAATCAAGTAGCTTGAAGCTTTTCTTTCATAGGACATAAGGTGTTATAGATGACAAAGGATCTCGTAGTCCATATGACAATCAATGAGCTTCAAAATGTTCTTAAAAGATATACACATATATATACATTCATATATTATATATTACCTGTTTGGAGTGTCCATGGATGGTGGATATGACCGCATAGCCATCTTCCATCATATGCCTGTGTCCCTTCCTGCTGACAACACAATACTCACCACCCTCGACTTCCAAGTCCCTTTCAACCCCATCCTCCTCCCTATCCGCAACACCAAAAGTTGCATCTGCTGAAGGCTTTGGTATGGCTATCCTCGCCGGTCTTCTTCTCGTCCTTGGTATCTTATTCGCCGTAACTTTTACCATTGGGTGACCGGAGTTTTCCTCACACTCCACATTCTCTTGCTTCGGAAGGGACGAAACCTTTTCGACGAAAGTCCCTGCCGGTTTGCTTCCTCCGGGAACCACGTCGACAACGGGGCGCACCCTGCGGTCGGAAGAGTCCTTGGACCTCTTGCTGGCTACGGCGGGCAGCTCGGCGAGCCGCTTCCACGACATAGCGGGGGCAGGGGAGGCATGGCCGGGAGACTTGGAGCAGAGAGCCATGGCGAGAAAGTACTTCCTAACCACCTGCTGCAGGTGCGCAAAGAAACACAACAAGGAGCATAAGAACTCAGGCCGATCAACCATTGTTCCTTGCTTCCTCTCCCTCTGCTCCTCGATATGGGATTTTGCTTTTGGATTGGGCTAGCAGACTTTCTATTCCAAGGTATGAGGTCAAAGGCTTTCTATTCTTAAGCATACTGCGCTCTAGGCTTGGAGGGAGGCATGGAGGGAGAAGGAACGCATCTAATTATAAATGTGTGTGGTGGGGGAGGAGTAGTCGTCTTCTTGTTGATATGATTGGGTGATAATGTTTGACCCATCAACGGGGCGGTATCGTTAAAGCCGAGGATTTGGTACTGCTGTGAACAATTTGCTTGTAATTGAAGAGGAGGAAAGCTTCGAGGCTAAGGAAGTGGTAGGCAACAAGGCAAAGGGAACCGGTCGCACTAGGGAATTCACAGGATCGGCGATTCTTTGAAGTCCAGTTTTGGTGACTGTGACTATATCTGCTGCACTCGAGAAAAAACACAAAAGAAGTATTTTTTAATGGATGAGAATTATCATATTAAACATGAATATGGATTCAACATGTGAAACATAAACATTCCATAAATTTATTAGGCTCAACTATAATCAATTCGAACAGGTTGCGTTATGCGGCCACTTCCATTTCCCACCGCGGACATGACCTACTTCAACTACGGCAGTCCTGTGTCAAGCCAGATTGCGGCGGCGGAACGTTTCCACCGCGTGAGAGAAAACGAGGAATACGCCGAGGAATTGGCTGATCGCCTGCCGACGCGGTGCATGCCGACATGGAGGAGGAGCGGTATGACCGTTGCCCCGAGCCGGCGTGTCTGTGGAGCCCGCTTCGGCGACTCGGTCGACACCACGTTTTTTGCGTACCCGCATAATTTCTCTTTTCAGAGCTTATAAACTAAAAAAAAAAATTACTTTTGAGGGTAAAGATAACTGGATAGACTTACGAGACTTTTGAGGGTAAAGATAACTGGATAGACTTATGAGACCTTGGTTCTCATAAAGATAACTGAAACTAAATACTTTTATCATTGCTCCCTCCTGTAGGGGAGCTAAGGGATTTGAGCCCACTTTCTAGTGTCAAAAATATTATGTATCTTGATATTGTGGCTTAAGGATCGATATGACTTGATCGTGTTCCGAAAGAGTAAGGTCATCCACATGGATTCTTGGGACGAGGAGGCTGAAGGGATGAGGTCGAGTTAGGGGATTGACTCCATTGCAGAGTGGGTGTAGGTTTTGTGTTAGATGTGTTGTCGCCCTCCGAAGTTGGCCCACCAACGATTACATCGTTTTGCTTTTTGATAAGAGCATGAGGGCACGGGGAGGGCTCCCAAGGTTTATGGAGATACTGCTCGTGGTGCCCCCAGCGGATGAGCTTTTCGATATAATATTTTAGATCCCGGTACCCTTCACTGTCGTAGCTGTGGTCTCGATGGAACTAACAGTATTTCAATCGATCTCTCAGCTCAAGTGAGCCTCTCCATGGTACGGGTTCCTTCAGGAACCCTTCTTCCTTATTTAGAAGAAGATCTCCATTCTTGTCATGTTTACGGGAGGTGGGGGAGGACAAGGAGCGACAGCTCGGGTCGACCGTGCTTTCTTCTAAGTAATCCTGAGGTTTGGCCTCGGGATTGCTCTTTGCAGGGTCTTTTATGTGATTCCTCATAGCGCCCCTCAATTAGTGTATCGACCGTAGTGTATTGGTTGGCCCGTTGGAGCATCTCAAGAATAATCGTTGGTGGCCTCTCAACCAGCGACTAGAAGAACCGTGTGGTTCTCAAACCCATCATGAAAGCCTATGTTGTAAGGAAATCTGGGGGCGACATCACATACGCAGCAGAAGAATATAAAACAAAAATCTCAGATTTCCAAAAAAAGTATTTATCATCGTGCGAAGATTGGTGTGTAAAAACTCACAAAACTGAAAATCACGTGTAAGATAATTATATTACCTAAGGAGATCGTATATCTCTATGATCCTACAAATTTGTGGGAGAGGATGAAAGAGGTCAAGTGTCCTCCTCTCTAACGATGATTCATATGACAGGGACTACGAAGATGGTCCTCAAATCACTATTCAAATCTCCACACTTGTTAGCTAAGGAGGAGAAGAAGAAAGGAGAATAGGAGGTAACAACCAAGAAGGCACAACCTATGACATTTTGGTTATCTCCTATTTATAGAGGTCTCATATCAACTTAACATTAATTGATCCTACACTATTGGGTACTAAATCTCTATCCTAATTAATTGTGCTCCCCCCCCCCTCTCCAATCGCTAGTAGGGTGGTTGTGTGGGCAATGCAACAAAGGGGAGGGTTAGGGTTTTATAAAATACAACGCATATAGTTCAAAACTAATCTTTCACACGAACAACCTAACTCTAATATCATTGTAGGAAAATCTATGGGTGACATTATATGCACAATGGAAGAATAGAAAATAAAAATCTTAGATTTCCCAAAAAGGTGTTCGTTGTTATACGAAGATTGGTGCACAAAAATCTGTAAAACTGAAAACCACTTGTGAGATAGTTATGTTATCTAGGGAGATCGTATATCCTTGTGATCATACATATTTATGTAAGAGGATAAAGGAGGCAAGTGTCCTCCTCTCTAGTGGTGATCCCCATGGTAAGAGCTGTGAAGATGCTTCTCTAATCGCTACCCAAATCTCCACACTTGCTGGCCAATGAGGAGAAGGAGAGAGGAAAATAGGAGGTGACAATAAAAAAGGCCCAGCCTATGGCCCTTTGGTTCTCTCCTATTTATAAAAGCACCATATCAACTTAACCATAATGAATCATACCATATTGGGTATTGGATCTCCATCCAACTACCTAAGCCTCTTAAATTAGCAGATCTCTATCCAATAATCTCTCATTGGCTCTTATTGGATCACATCCATAAGATCCAATGATTCAAGGGTTTATTAGATATCCAATAATTCAATGGCTTATATTCGAACCTCTACTCGTCGCAACACCTACCATATGTGTATGACTCTTTATGCTTAATATCGAGCTAACCACGAGTCATACCTGTTAGAACTCCTTCTAGCTCAATGAATTATTATCTCCATAATAATTCACTCAACTTATCGATTACGAACGTACTAGGCTACTACACTACAGTCCCCAAACGATAAAAGAGATTCTAATCCATTGAACCTATCTATCCTCAGTTACCATGTACATATAGTCTCTCATTCATCTAATACCCCAGAGATATATATCGGGTATGGTGTTGTTAGAATTAAATGATTTCTACTCGAGTCTCGTTCTAATCGGATTCTTCTGGAGAACTATTTCTCTCTTAATCTGAATGACCCTAGTTAGGGATTTGTCTAAGCAAGAACATATGAGATATTTCTCTCATGATACCAAGAACGAATGATCCTCTATCGACACTCAATAGCCCTTGTAAGGTTGGCTGCCACTCCCGATGACCGGTTGTGCTAGATTTGAAACTTCCAAACTTATAAGTCCAATATTAAAGTGGAGTACTCATACATGACATTCTTAGTGTATCAAGTTTAAGGACCAAGTACACCACTAGGATGACGAAATTACTATCTGACACTGATGTATCATCAATCTTTTAGTATTTTATGAGCGGATCAATCAATGAACTAATTCTCCAATGAGTACATGTACTGTAACCCTAGTGTCCCCATGCAAGCAGCTATAAGACTAGTCATCTCTATTATATGGACGGGTATACAATACACCAGTCTGTCTAGTTATCTCGATGTCTCTCTCGAGTAACTTATGACCAAGATTTTTAGGGTTTGTGTTTAAAGGCGAATCAGTCTCATTATCGTGATCTCATCATGATCTGATTCCCATTGCATAGATCCATAAATATCATAATATATTTATGCATCAAACAATATAAAGTGAGAAAATACCATAATAATAATAAGTAAAAAGAATGTGTATCATGTCACACGTGTCATCATTCACGTGATTAGTTTGCAGGGCACCTATGACTAGTATATATGGCCAGTGATGGGTGGGCGTCGGGAACCCCCTAGATTTTGACGGTGAAGCGTGTGATGAAGAGGGAAAGGGACTCGTCCTCCCTCTGCCTCAACCCAGTGAGCATTGTCGTGGAGGGCCTCGGTCGTATGTTGGCTAGGAAGTGCAACTCAAGCTCCTTCATGAGCTAGGCGAAGGATGAGGTCGAACATGGCTTCAATCGATTGTATCACTCCTGAGCCGAGCCCCTGAGGGTGGTGTGGAATACCTGACACATCAGAGAGTCCAACGTGTTGTACAATGCCATATGAGCTCGAAAGGCGATAGTGTGCTCCCTTAGGTCAGAGCTGCCATCAAAAGCTTCTAGTGTTGGGAGGCGGAAGTTAGTCGGGAGCGACTCGTCCTGAATATCTTTGGCAAAGGGGAGCTACCTGAGATGTGGTCGCCATCCCCTTCCTTCAATTGTTAAAACTCCTATTGTACCTTATCAAGGCATTGGTTGACCAATCGCAATTGCGCTCTGAACGAGTCGTTCATTGAGCTTGTCGTTTGAGTGTTCGACTCGGTGAACATTGAGGGGGAGCGACAATGAGGAAAAGCATTGTACTACACCGTCGAGGAGCATGGGCCCTCGAGCTATCCCTTAGCTAGTTGAGGATGGTCTCGGCGCATCGAGGGTAGTTCGATTGGGGTAGCCCTGAGGGGTGTGGGAGTGTAAGTTGGTTCGCTAGTTGTGGCTGTAGAATGGGTGGCACTTGTTGGGCAATTAGGGGAGGACGAGGGTGATGGCTTGCATCGTCCCGGTAAGTGCCTGCACCTAGTGGGTGAGATTGACGAAAGCCTCGACAGGGGCCACCAATTAACCTGTGTTGGTTCCAAGAGGGGAGAACCCATGATTGTTTAATAGGTGTCAGTAGTGCCCTAGAGTCTGGGCCGAGGTGGACGCATCCACTTGTGGGAGGATGGGCAATTGCCCCCCTTGGCCAAAAGCATTGTGAGAGGGTGAGGGAGCCTCATTGTTGAAGTGCTCATTGAGAGAGTTCACTAGTGGATGCTCTCGCAATATTCAACTCTCCTTCTAACGTCAAAAATGTTATGTACCTTTATGTCGTGGCCTAGGGATCGGTACGGCTTGATCCTATTCCACAAGCACAAGGTCATCAATGTGGATTCTTAATGTGAGGAGGCTAAACGAGCGAGCTCAGGTTGAGGGGTTAACTCTCGAGCCGATCTAAGGCAGGGCTTGAATCGTCTCACCTACATCACGTTCCTACATGACTCGATCTCTTTAATGTTTAAGTTAGTAAGTAATTCTTACGGTGTAAAAAGTTCAATCTCCCTCCCGAGGTCAAGGAGCCTATATTTATACCTACGAAATCGACTTGGGGTACGCGGGTCATTAATGGTCATCGATGCCTTATTCAAGGTGCTTGTACGAGCAATCAACCTGTATGTCCCCGATGACACGAGTCAACTCAATTGAATCCTCACTATGCGATGTTGACCCATACAATCCCAAGTGATGCAAACGTGGTGATGCACCATTGTCCAGGTTGGCTAATTTTCGCACAAACATGTGTCGGGTCGTTCCACAACGGCTCCTTGATGGCGACCAATTGTCAATCCGTGATTAGTGCTGAAAAATTTCCTATCAAAAATGTTTAAAGATTTTTCATAATCACCAATGATAAAGAAATGTGATAATTCATGACGGGGCCAAATTACATAGAGGTAGTCAAGTCTTGCCCCAACTTATCCGCCGAAGATGGCTAGAAATAAAGGTATTCAAACCAGACGCCAAGAAACATCATCCTCCTGGGATGGTGCATCGCTTGTTGATACTGGTAATAGTCAACATCAGTAAGAGGTGCCTTATCCAATTCAAAGAGATTTAATATTCTTTAACCTGGCCATACATGAGGCTGAACTAAGATCGATCCAATGCAGGAGTTCCAAAACCAATGTCCAATGCGTGGTATCCAAAACCGACGGCGGGGTATCTTCATACTGGTCTATACAAGAACCCATGAACAACATAACAGATCAGTCTTTCAAGCTTCATAAGAGCAATCATAGTTATGTTAGTTTTTACACAGTAATGAGCAAAATCGCCGTACCTTAGGTTCTAACCTTCTTCATCCACTAAAACAGTCGTCCCGGTGCCTACTCCAAGATCCACAATGGCAGTCATATCATCCTCGAGCAATAGAGGCAGTGGCAATCCCTATTGCAAAGCAAAAAATTAGGTCAATCATGTATCTAAAACTTAGAAGAGTTACCCTCATTTTATTAGATATATGCAGTCAAAAAGAACTCTAATATGCAGTTATCCTCCAACCTCAAACATCAATTCCTGGATTATGGTCGAAGGCCCACAAATTACCTAAGTATGAAACATGGGTTTGTGCTATTCACCTAATGAAACATTATCAGGAAAATTTTAAAAAAAGTAAATACATCTTTCAGTTTCTTTATAACTATCAGCTGATCCGCAATTCAACTCAAGATCAATCAAGACCCCAATTCATCTCAGAATCATCCAGTCCTTACAAATTGGGACATTTTGCACATCAATTGACACCCATAAAAAGAAAAGACTGCATATTTTGATGAAGCATAATCATCAATCATGGAAAAGTTACCACCAATACACATGCACCAATAATTCTAGGCTGTAAGCATAGTTGCCATGTTGCACTGACATGCCACATGGTAGAAAAGAATATTTGAAAGAAGCTAAAAAAGGAAAAGTACCTCTTCCTGAATATACAATCTCAACCTGATATCTTTCAGTTTAAAGAAGCTTTCACAGAGGACCTTTAACTTGCCAACCTGCAGGTAGACAAGTGAAATTGAGTTGCAAACCCACTCAAAACAGAAGTTAAGAGAGATTGTTGATGATGTCACTAAGTAGACATATCATTATACTATTAAGAGAAAATAAAATGATTCTTTACGCGATGTTTTCCAACAATAAAAAGTGAAAGGCGGGTTAGATCAGCAAAATTGTGCTTTTTTATTAGCATTTGATGGTGACAGACACATATCCAGTACTGATAGAAGAGGAATAAAAAATGTCCAAAAATCAAATGTATCAAGATATAATCAATCATAAATTTATATTGAAACAAAATGTACAGGGGCAGCCCTGTAGGGTGGGTGTCAGATATCTCCAAATCAGATAAGAACATTTTGGTCTTTTACTTATCATTTTTTATTTATTTATCACCATGACTGGTTAGCTTGGTTTAAATTGAAGGGGTATATATGGAAGAACCTAATATTTTCTGGATATATGTGTAACTTTAAATTTATAGAGACAAATATGAATTTCCAAAATTAACAATGATATATATGCAATTGACCCTAAATTTTAACTGACCCATGTGTAAGCATAAACAAACTACCTATCTTGTTTTAACATATTCAGGTTAAGATTCTAAGCTCTTGTTACCTTATGCAGAGTGATGATTCTCTAACTCGTGAACACTTGCTCAACAAAAATGAGTGCTATAAATTTTGAATGCTATTGAGGATCAAGAGGTATATTTACAGTAGTAGTAGGCGGCAGCTTTTTGGTCAAAGGCTGCTTCTCCCCCATGGAAGCTCCAATACACTTCAATGTAACACCTGCACAGCCAAAGGGAAACTTGGCATAATACTACAGCCACTGATTATATACTTCGAAGTATTCATTCATATTCGTACTAATAAGTCCAGAAGACATTTTTTGGGGTCCTGCAATTCCAGATGATGGCCTCTCATATTCGATACCATGCAGTGCCTTCAGCTCCGCAAACCTGTATTATGACCACTTAGAAAAAATGTTGAATTGTAATTTTCTATCTCCTAGATTCATTTGGTAAGACCATGAGGTATTTATTTAATCTATGATCTAAGAAACGTGCATCTCTATAATGCCAAAAGTTTGTGCATCAAGCTTTTTGCTATTGCCATAAAACCTATCACATGGTAAAGTGCTGATATCTTGAAGCAGAATTCTTTTTTTTTACCCCGCTCCTGACACGACATTTGCACATTTGCCATTTATGTACTTACTCATGATTTCATGTACTTAATATTTCGTTTGGAAAAAAAAAAAGATTGGCCAAACTTGAAAATTGACTCATTGTATGACTAAACGATTGAATCGTATTCGGTTGGGTGGTACCAACTAAATCAAGTGCTAACTCCCATTTATTTCTTATTGAATTAACCGATCAACTTGCTATCGGACATTTATTTTCGACTTGGCATGGCACTATTCAAAAAAAATTCAACATATTTCACTTTAATTATAATTATGAGAATCAATCCTACCCCTTCTAGTCCTGCGGTTTCCACACTTGAAGAATAAAACCTAGGATGCATCGCTCAAATTATTGGCCCAATACAGGACATTGCTTTTCCTCCGGGCAAGATGCCTAATATTTATAACGCTTTGGTAGTTAAGGGTCGAGATACTTTTTGATAAATCATGCTATATCTATCATGATATAGAATTAATTGGAATAAACATGCAACCTTAATGGAATGGAACAACACAATCGCAGCAAATTCCATTAGTATATTTCTCCAAAATAATATTTGGTTCACAACTTCACATGAACTAACCTAATTTGTATCCATACAAAAAATCCATCTTAATATAATATGTGTTCACAACTTAATTTGGTTTCATTAGGTGATTCTGCCATGAACAGTTAATCTATCAAAATACAGTATCAGAATTTCTAAAATTGGCATCTCTCTCTATCACACACACACATATACACAGCAAAAAATATCTGAATTGACAAAATCGGACAAGAATATAACGGATTACCTTGGATGAAAATGTCTCAAGTCTTCCAAATCATCTGATTGCATCTTGGCCATGACAAGGCGGACATACCTGCATGGGTCACTAGAATAAGTACCAAGAAATCTGAAACATCCATCTTCACCACAAAATTAATTCAAACATGCTGATATCCTCAAGTTTTACAACAATTAAGATGGTTATAGGAGTGAAAGTTTGTCCAGAAAATGATTTTAAAAGTTACATTCAGATTCTGATAACAAATAAAATTTTAACCTTTAGAATCTTATAAACTACGAGAAATATATGAAGCAAACTTTTTGCCTGCATTTTGGATTCCAAGCTTTGTTCTTGCAGTATTCGCATCTTTTGCAAAGGTGTATACCATGCATGGACTTAAGTTTCAGCCATACCTATCAGTAGAAAGTGGTATTTACAAATCTGACAGTCAATCAGTATCTGGACCAGGCAATTTTTCAAGAACCAGTTTGAAACTGAGCTTACCTCTTGTAAGATCACCATACCAAATCATGGGGCACCAAGCTGTACAGACAGTAATGGTAGAGTCCTTTTATTCCTCTTTCTATTCTTACTCATTTTCCTCTGCCTCCTCTCCTCCCCCAACTTTTTAACTCCTATGTGATGTTAGTGATTCAAAAAGCGCTAGACGCCAAAAGGTGCCAAGGTCCAAAAACGCCCGAGGCGCTCACTCGAGCGAAGTGAGGCGCTAAAATATAAAAATATAAAATATAATTAATAAATATAATTATTTAAAATTTTAAATAAAAATATGCTATTAAATTAAGAAAATCTAAGGTACAAAATCACAATGTCACATTAACAAAAAGTTTCAAAATTCAAAACAATAAAATTTTACATCAAAGTCAATCATCATAATCAATATTATCGTCATTTTCACATAAATTATCTTCATTGAATTCGTCCTCTTCCTCTTGTCCTTCCTCTTCATCAAAATATGTTTCATTCTCTATGTCTTCAACAATAGTAGAAGTCGAGCTTGATGCTTTTGTATTCATTTTTCTCTCTATCATTTGTCTTGCATATGTTTGTAATTCTCCAGCACCTGAAGCTCTTGCCACATCTCCCCATGTTAATTTATCATCTTCAAATACAAACTCGTCTTCGACATCTTGCAAGTTAGCACCCATTTCTCCCACCAACCACTCATTTGAATCATCAATATCTTGCAATGAGATTGTATCAATTCTATTTTGCAAATCATGACGAGCCTTCAAAGCTTGATTATACTTTATGTAAACAAGATCGTGTAATCGTTGATATTCCAACAGATTTCTTCTCTTTGAGTGAATCTGTCATGTCATATAATTTAAAAATATATTAATACATCTATCTAAATTAATTAATTAATTAAAATAAAAATATTTAGTGATCCTTACATGCTTAAAGATACTCCAGTTTCGCTCACAATCCGAAGCACAACATGTCAAACTAAGTACTTTGATAGCAAATTGCTGTAAGTTCGGGGTGGAATTTCCAAATAGACTCCACCATTCAGCTACAAAATTTATGTTATTATTAGCAATAACATAGTAACATAATATAGATAAAATTAATTATATCAAATTATTAATACCTGAAGACGTAGTTGTCCTGGATCGAACGACCATTGGAATTCCAAAAAGACCTTCGACGTTTTTATATAAAGATAATTTACGAATAATCTTATCTTGCACCTCAAGGCTGAGAACTAATCTTGCAACGCACTGATATAACCCATCCAAAACTTCTGCATCAAACCCAACGGATTTAATCTTATAAAGGAATTCAGGGTTCAAATAATATCCTCTGCATGTAAGGGACGCTGAAGTTGACAATTCCATCTTTTGTCATTGATTGTAAAAATTTTCTCATATTTTTCTTCATTTTCATTAAAAGACCTTTTAATCGTCTTCTTTACTCTATCCATAGCCTCATAAATATATCTCATTGCAGGCTTATTTTCATTATCCACCAATCGAAGGACTCGAACAAGAGGGCCCATTACTTTTAATATATAAACTACATAATTCCAAAAGCATGGCATTAAGATGATATCAGTAGCCCTCTTGCCTTTTGCTTCTTTTGCCCATTTGCTTGTCATCCATTTCTCAGAGGTAAACATGTTTCTCAGATTATGTTTTTGACGATGCACGCAATGTAATGTCAAGAATGAAGTAGCAAATCGAGTGACACCATATCTCACTAATTCTTTGTTCCCTGTGAATTCTCTCATCATATTCAAAGCCCCAATATAATTATAAAGAAATCCAATAACAAAAATTACCCTTTCTAAGGTTTTCTTGATGTCTAAGATCTTTCCAATATCCTCCAACATTAAATCAATACAATGTGCCGCACATGGAGTCCAATATAAGTGTTGTCTTTTTATTTCAAGCAATTTACCTGAAACAAAAGATAACAAAAATGATAAGACTTAAGAGTTTAACACATTTAATTGAAAATAAAATAATTAAAAAATTCAAAAGATGAATATTACTAGCTAATACATAGTTGCTTCCATTGTCGGTTATGATTTGAACGATATTTTGTTCTCCAATTTCTTTCACGAAGTTGTCAAGTAAATCATATATTTTGTCTCTAGATTTTACAAAAGATAAAGCATCTATTGACTTCACAAATATAGTCCTTAAAGAATAGTTAACCATAAAATTCATTATACTCCTACGCCTCCTGTCAGTCCAAACATCTGACATAATAGAGCAACTATGTGTTGCCCATGATTCTTTATGACCCTTTAGTAAGTTATTTGTAAAATTCAACTCTTTTTGCATCAATGGAACTCGCATCTCATAATAACTTGAAGGTTTTAATCCCGCACCATATCTTCCAATAGCTTCAATCATTTCCTTAAAACTGTCTAAACGAGTTGTACTAAGGGGAAGACCAGCTTGATAGAATAAGCGAACAATGTGCCGAATTGTTCTTCCTCTTATTTCTTTATCATAAGCATCACTTATATTTGTTTGTCTAAATTTTAAGCCTCCTGCTTGCCCTTATTACTTCTGTGATCCTTGAATCATATATATATCCATCGGTCCTTTTTTACCCTTCTTAGTACTCATAACTTATTTTTCTTTTTTGTCGTATACTTTTTTCCCACTTGGGTTAATACTCACAGAATAATCTTCTTCTTTATCCCTGAGATGTTCAACATTGTCTTCTGGTAAATTCTCATAAGATTCATTCTTTTGCGTCTTCTTTTCATTCATATAACTCAGCAATTCTTCTTTTACCGTAAGATTCATTCTTTTTGCGTCTTCTTGAAATTTCCTACTAGATGTTGTTTTGCACGAAAAACACCTCCTCTAGTAGTCTTATCGTAGAACACGCAAGTCACAGCATTAGGATCTTTCCGATTCTTTAGATAATTATACTTCCATGCAGAATCTTTTTTTATGACATTGGAGACTCTATTGAGTTGCTCTGTACACTTGTCATTTATCTTGAAACCTAGCAATGATTTCAAATAAATAAAAATTAACAGTATTAAAATTAAAATAATATATTATTAATCTAATAAATACAAATATTGTTACTAGTATACAGTTAATAGTATACTTTCGAAAGAGAAGAGAAGCGAAAGAGAAGAGAAGAGTGTAAGGGAAGATCGAGGGTGCTGATTGAGAAAAGCGGGAGCGGCAGCGGTAGCGACAACGACGAGCAACGACAGTGGCAGTGGCAACAGTGGCAGCAGGAGCGGGAGCGGCGAGCGACGACAGCGGCAGCGAGCAGCGGCAGCAGTAGTGCGAACGACGAGCAGGGTTAGGGTTGGGGAAGTCGCGTTGATATCGGTGCTTTAGTTGGTTTGATTGAACAAACTAAAGCACCGGAGACCAAACCAGACCTAAAATGCTGGTTCGATCGCCTGGTTTAACCCAGGTGCTCGCCGGAAGCGCCCAACGCCTGGGCTCGGGCGAGCGCCCAGGCGACGCCTCTTTGAAGTGTGCCGCCTGGAAATGAAGTGAGGCACTCGGGCCTCGCCCGAGCGCCTATTGAAATCACTGCGTGATGTCGCCGCCACTTATCCTCGTCTAGTTTTTCACACCTCTAGTGTGTGTGTGTGTGTACCAACCCATGCCATGTTGGTACAAAGACGAGTACTGGATTGAGAATTTAATCCTTGATGACTTGTAACTCTAGAGAATGCAGCATTGCAACTACAAAAAAGGAGCACTTGTCTGCAAAATTACTCATGGCAGGTTGTTTTGTAACCTAAGCAACAAATGATGATACATTATGTAAAATGATAAGATGCAAATATGCTATATAATATATTTTATTGACATATCATAGTATAATGATGATACAATACAATTTTTTTTCTAATGCATAGAAATAAGGGGTAATTTGACAACTTGTAATATAGAGCAACCACATCCACCCTTTGCAGGCATGAACAATTGTGTACCTGTATAACATCTTTTTTTCAAACAGTCAGTACATACGAGATCTATAATTACCCTCTTATACAGATCGAGATACTAGGCTTGATGATGCCACCTGATATAGTATATTGTTTGACTTATAAATGTTATTGTATCAAGAGATTTGCTTAATTGAGCAACCATAGTCGTCGCTTCCAAAAATACCAACAATAAGAAATTAGTGTTAGACAGAGCATCAATATATGCAATCAATAAATCAACTCACCGAATTTCTGATTCCTTCCTTTCACGTTGGCTTACCTGTACACAATAAATAAATTTCTGATGTAAATGAAAAAAGACGGTTTGTGAATCCATCACTACACAAGTTTTAGATGCTACCTCACTCCCATTAAGCATTTTGATTTTTGCAAGACGTGCAATCAAAACAAATCTTGGGAGGCCACCTTTACTTGGATCTACTATAGGATTCTCAGAAAGCCTGATGTCCTTCAAAGAATGCCAAAACACATCGTTACATACTGTTATGAAAGAACATGGAATGGTGCCGCAATATCAAAGCTGTATATGATTATTCAATAGCTACTTTTTACTATTTAGTATAAATATGCATTGTTTTCAGTAACATTGACTAGTAAAAATAAGAACAATATAGATGTTTGCAGAAACCATTCAAGCCTATTTCAGCAGCAGGGATCTTCCTAGAAAATGAAAAGCTGCTATTTTATGGCTCAAGTTATCAAATAACCAACTGATAAATATGAACTGACCTAGAAAAACAGAAACATTTTATCTAACTAAAAGACTATGCCACTTTAATTGCCCTTAAAGTGTAATTATTTGTCTTTTAGAAAAAAAAAGGTGAATGGAGTTGATTCTGCTGATGAATCAACATGTGGTTTCCTAGAGAATGATGCAATATTAGCTCTCTTCGAACAAAAAATAAAAAATAAAACTATAGGTAGCACATTTTTTTAACTATTTCCAACTTTCAAGGGGGGAGCAACACCAAGGAGCACTTTCACCAGATGGGACCATTTGTCTAAACATTTCACTTGTAAGCATTATAAAGCTTAAAAGAATCTGGAAGCAGGCTTGATAACAAACATAAGGCACCAAAGTGACACATTTAGGAAAAAGACTATTCAACTAGAAGAATCCATCTAAACTGATTCATCACTAGAGTTTAATGTATGTTTTCATTTATGATATGTGTTGAGTGAATGAACCGTAATTGTCTATGTGAAGCCTTAAACTTGACCACTCTAACATAATATAAAAATTTCACCAGCCTAGCATATACAGTGAGCTAACAGTATGTTCAACTGAGTAGACGAGCTATTAATTCACCAACATGTAGGCAGACAGAAACTCATATAGAGATATTGTATATTTCTCGGGCCAAGGCTTAGATGACCTGCAAAGTACAAGTTTTGATACCCTGGGCGAAGAATACATGATTGAAAATTAGCTACCTAGTTTTATAAATCAGAAGGGGTACATGTCTTGGCCCATGAAACTTGCAGGTAAGACAGTAATTTTTGGCACAGTTGATAAGGGTCATTCTTGCTCTTGACAAGAGATGAATGAAGGTAAAGAATCTAAATCCAAAACATGATTCTAGATTTACTAACAATATTGTGCATTGACAATTGTTTAAAGAAATGAGCTCACCATCAATCTAGGGAATATGTTCAAGGAATCTATTGATGCCAAGTCGTCAATCTCATTGGATCCTGAATGTGCTACCAGTGGTTAGTCAAAACCAGAGAGCATAGATTGCTCAGAAAAAGATTGTTGAGATCTCTAGAAGTGTTAAGAACTTCAAAAGGCATCACAAAGAGTTGATATCATAATCCACAAACAGATACCAAAGAGACTCAAAAGTTACCTAGAAGAAGGCACTGCAAATTTTCAAAAGGCCTAATAACCGTGTCTTGCATGTCACAATCACTCAGTAACTCTGGCCTTTGATGATCAAGAGGGTAGGATATATGTTTCAATCTGTTCCTGTTCAAATGGAGCTGTTCCAAACTGCAATCATAACCATAAATAAGTTAAAGGAGTTTCAAGAAAGGAACCACAAATTGCACAATCATGCATTTATTTTCATGACTGCTCAAAACTATAACAATGACTGACATGTAAATTTGCCATCTATGTTCTTACCTTCTTAAATAAGAAAGCTTCAATATTTCATCCCATGATTTGATACAGTTTTCTTCCAAATTTAAAATCCGCAATGTGTCGAATCCTTGAGCATAAGAACTAGACGTAGGCTGTTTAAGAATATAAGATTTTGGTTATTTCTTTCTACACATTGTTGAATTATGTACAGAGGACACAGAATAAGGAATCAGAAAACATATAAGAGAATATGAAAATGTTGCTATTACATGTCGCCTGTCAGACAACTATTGCTTACAAGCCTCACTCCCTTTTATGAATAAAAATCTGCCATAATGGTATATAGGACTTCTAACTAGTATTTCGGCTACATCTTGGTAGATCATTGATGAAGAAATTAAAAGAATAGCCAGCAATGTGAAGTTTTCTTATTATATTGTCACAAATTAAAATATCACAAATAATTTAATTCAAAATAAGCATTAACAGGATGAAGCTCTTGATATCACAAATAGAATAGCAGAAATATCACAAATCAAAATAAGCATTAGAACAAGTGCTTTCAAGTTACAAATAATTTAATTCTAAGAAGAATCATTTATCAAAAAGAAAAAGATAAAAGTTCTTACCCCTATCATGCTTAAATTATTTGCCATTAGATGAAGCTCTTCAATAGCAGGAAGTGATTCTTTGAATTTCTCAACCTGCTACCAATAATATCAATGGTCACCAACCAAGATGGCCAGAAAAGGAAAAAAAACATGGATTTAGACTATATGTATCACCTGATTCCATGTTATGCCGCAATTATTGAGAACCAGAACACGAATGCTCACAAGTGACGAAAGCTTAGGAATTTCACAATCCATAAGATTGTTTGTCAAGTTTAGAATTTTTAGAGATGGTAGAGCTTCGCAGAGGGTACCAATATCCTGAAACAAGAAAAGACCCTATCCCTTTAACTGAAAAGACAGTTCCCAACCACCAGGCAATATCCAATAGTCATAAATCACGACCACATAAAATTGTACTCTTTTTATAAAAGATAATTCAATGATATTCTCACTTCATATTGTGTTACAAATAAGTGGAGAAACAAATGGTACACCCCACAAGAAACGGAACATAACAAATTCACATGATTCTTCAATACCTACTGGTGTTTTCTGCATTTTATAACCACAAATTTATGTAGCGACAAAAATCAGGTTCACAACGCACCATACATACAATTAACAGGATATTTACATATTATAACTATATAAATAGCCAAAGTGCAACCTAAATTTCCTTTAACAGATTCTGCATGTCTGATTTATCATCTAATCAAGATATGCTTATGGTAATACTAAAAATTTGTATAACCAAAAATCAAGATCCAGAAATCAACTTCACTTGTCTACTTTCCAAGACAACAGCACAACTAACGATGTCCACTCTCAGCAGTAGAACGAGCAACAATAACAACAAGCTAGAGGTCCCAACTATTTGAGATCTACCTTATAGGATCTTTATGCAGCAGTGACAAATGTCATATACCATGATTGTTTTGACTGGAAGGGGATTTATCTGGCAATCCATGCTTAAGATTATACTCATAAATAGTCATTAAGTATCATCCTTTGCAACATGATCAAGCAAAGAATTTAGCATAATATGCAGTTTGAACTCACTTTTATTTGTAACTTGGACTGAATTTCGTTTTTTAAAACTTATGATAAACCATTTACATTTTAGACAGAGTCATTTAACAAAATGTATTTTAAGCATTCTAATGATAGAACAAATCATATGTGGCTCTGTTGCAAATGTAAATTTGGAGTGCTTCTGCAGAAGAACAAAGCATTTTAACTTATAAGTCTGTCATGAAGTCCAATATGCAAGCCATTATATTGCTCATTGCAAAGATTTTAGTTTTGCAACATAAGCTACATTGTATTTGACAATCAGGATAAGCATTATGCCATTGCAGTTACTTGTTGAAATGCTCCTGCTCCTGCCCCTGCAATGTGCAGTGCCAAATGCCAGTACCATGTTGGTATGATTTGACATGAGATTCTTGGTTCATTATTATAATATAGACTGAGGTTCAGGCACATTACTAAACTCAAGTAACAGCAAGAACATGACACCAAATGGCAAGGTAAGTAGGTTTCTGACAAGTCAATGAGAAGAGTTATCCATCTAAAAACCAAGATATGCATATGGTTTCCACCATGGTTTGCAGTACCGGTCCGTACCGCCTGGTACGGGCGGTACATACCGGTCCGACAGACTTTCGGTACGCGGACCATAGGTTACCGTGCCGAGCACTGTAGTACTATAGCACTGTAGCAGTACTACAGTGCTCGGCACACCTGGGTGTACCAAGCGGTATACCGTACCGTACCGGTACCGAGCCCAGGTCGAAACTCCGGTACGGTACGGTATTGCGAACCTTGATTTCCACCACATTTTAGGCATCTTAGTTTCTTGGATGATACGCACATAAAACTTAATTGTGCTTATCCTTTGGTGTGTGACAAGACATGAATGTCCACCAAATTTATGACAAAGAAGTAGCACAATGCTGAAATCTAGAAACAAATCTAAATCTCCGAAATGGTCTAAGTATTGTAGAAAAAGAGAATGGCATTTTATCAAGCAAAACCCAGCAGACTATTTACAGATTGACTAATTACAATTATGAACATCAAGCCGTACTTAAGCATGATTTTTGTTTGTCCAACTTTGATTCATTTTGTAACCCTTAACCCAGATGAGGTTCCAGTTATCACAGAACAGCAACATTAAATGTCATGAGAAATGGTAGGCACGAGTCATTCATGTGTTTCTCAAAATATGATCCCATGTGATGTTCACATGGCACATATGCAGTTTCCATGTGAAATAATAAGGGACTCATGTAGAAACTATGTCCTCAATTATTATGCCACATCAGCATTTCTAAGGCACTACATTAGTGCAAACATAGGTAGCATGATAGTGCCATCAGCCATGCAGGCAATATCTTGTATCACTATATCAAATTCAATCCTTTTTGGTTACTTCTCAGTTCTAATGTTTCTTTATGCTATGACTATAATGAGCCTGTTCTTATACTACAAAACAAAAAACCAATGATATATTTGTCATAATTTATGCATGATGGATAAGAAAAAAATTTCCGAGTAAGAAAACAGACCTCATGTGAGTTTGGTGTTACAAAGGGAACCATGGGCCCAGATAATAAAATTTGGACCAAGCACGAGTAGGCATATATTATGATTATACTTATTTATAATATGGAGAAAAAACTAGAGTTTGGACTAGAAACTAGAAAGTCCCATTCGCAATCATCAATGACAGACAAAAAATCATGAGACTTCCTCTAGCTATAAGTTATTTTCATTTACTCTGATTGAACATTGAAGATTTGTAATAATGAGGTTATTTCTCCACAACAACACTGATGTGTCTTAAACATTCTAGGAGAGATGTCTACCAACTTTAAAAAGAAAAAAAAGAAAGAATAAGATAATAAGATGATAACATTTACACAAACAAGAAATTCTTGCAAGATAATTCGTACCAAGAGTAAAGTCTAAAATAAGATTTCATCAAGATCAAGAAGCAAGGTCAGGGGTACTACGAAAGCATTCTTGAAATATGCTATTAAAATAAAAACACTACCTGCCATCTTGAAAGCAGATTTCCTGTCAAATCAAGTTCCTCAAGATCTGAAAAAGAACATATATTTGTTAAAGAAGGAAAAAATCCAACAATGAAAATGGTGGACAAAATACTAGCTAAAATCTCCAAGCTGAACCACAAGTTCATTCCAAAAGCCATGATGAAGTCTGAAGTTGGCATCTAGAAGTAATTAGAACGAGCAGGTAATTATACAGAGACACAGAGAAATTGCAGCTAAGATCTTCATATAGAATATGCATAATCATTATATATAAAGTTTTATCTAAAGCTTATAAGCAGGATGATTGGTCCATCAGGTAATACCTCTCAAAACAATGTGCAAATCAGACCCTGATAGCTTATGGATATTTTGATGCAGTTATGATAAACTGAAAATAACATAAAATTGTAATCACAGAAACAGTAATATTTTGTGTGTAAATTCTTAAACAGGATCCTATTTAAATGATACACCTGAAGAAATGGAAGATCATCATGCGATTTAGCAAGATCAAAACTTCAACATTTGTTGCAATCATTTAGAACATGATTTTTCAACTATGGTCCAAAAATTTTACCTCTATGTTATAGAAAACATAATAATCACTATAAGGGGATTATTTCTCAAGACTAACAACCTTTAATCCTCTCTTTTTCAATTATTCACATTATGATAATTATTTTATGTCTCGCACATTTATTTAGTCAACCTTCACAGCAAAGCTTTGGACCCCTACTATTTGTTAAATTGTCATATTTATTACTTTTAATAACAACTACAAGCAAAAGTTTAAAGAGAGATGCTCAAGATGGATTTATGTAAGAACTAAATTGGAATCATGTTAGTAATCTTGCAATTACAGCATTGAGTGAGGAACCACAGTTACAACAACATTCTTGTATACTATTACACGTATTTATTGGACACAAATCCTGCTGAAAATATAAGTACATATACCAACTAAGGAAGTATAACTCCCATATCTAATCTGATAAGTTTTACCATAATAAAGAATGTCAAGCCAAAATTCCAAAGAGTTTCATGTTTAGTAAAAAAAAAAGTCATTTTTCTAAAATTGCAACACGAAGGAAGAAATGAAATACAAAAATGTCAAGGGCAACAAACTTACTTGGAACTATAGCATTAATTTCATTAGAAGTTTCAGCTGAGCTAACTCCCAAATAAGATACAGATGCACCAAGCAACTCCTTAAAGTGATTTAACTTCTCCTGGATTTTATTTTTTCCAACGAGTTGTATGGATACATGCTTTTGGCTGGTTGAGAAAACATACATCTCATCTGCATAATCATGATAAACATAACCACATCATCGGTTTTAAAATAAGTCCACCAAATTCATGTCAAGAATAGGATTCAAGAAAGAAAATCAATTAGTCAAGAAAATGAAAAAACATAGGAATTATAAATAAGGTATACAAGAAAAGTTAAACATATGCTTGGGTAGGCATTATTATAGATAAAAATTTTAAGAATTATGTCATAAAGATAAAAAGAGTTGGTAATAGAATTTAATTACTAAAATTTGGTTTTAGGAGAAGAATTATTAAATATTAATACGTGCTTAAGGCCTCAACAAGGATTAGATGATACTGTGAATTGTGAATTTTTGAAAAAATTAGATGCATCATCTAAGTAATCTAAGAAAGAATGAAGAAGCCAACTAAAAAAGAAATGAGACAAATCTTAGGTTTGATTAAATATTATGAAAAAATAATAATTGACATATGTCTTGAATTTGATTGAAAATATCGTCCTAATAAGGAAACTTATTCTTTACTGAAAATAAGCTAATAATACCTACTTTCTTTTGTCATATGTTTTTCATATGCTACTAAAAATAAGCTATGTATAGCAACTGCAGATTTCTTGCTTGCTTCAATATCTCAAATCCCATCATATTACTCCTATTTTTTTACTGCCTAATTTTAAGTCCGACTACAAACATAGTTATTTTTCCTTGTCTTTAACAAAAACAAATGAACAAGTGGATAATTTTCTTTTTTCTCGCCCTAAAATCTCTTCTGGTGTGTCCTCTTATGTTTGCAAGCTATCTCAATTGGTCATATGCCAAATTAGCATTAAATCCAGAAAGCTCTTTCTCTTTTACTTCTCTTCTCTACAATATTTTTGCAATTCATTTCTTGTTAAACCTGTTAGTGTTCTAAATATATAACTTAAAACTATTTTAGCTCCAGTCAGACAAGATGAAGTTTCAGTGGCAGGGCATTGGTGTATATATGAAGGTTCACCACCACCAGGTATCAAGGTTATAATCAATTTCAACTTACCTCAATATTATTGGGTGTCTGGACCATATTGGGATGCATGCTCCAATCTTTCACCCTGTCTTGAGTGACTCATGAATATACCAGTCGTCACATCTTAAGCCCTAACAACCTAATATTCCCACTTGATTGCATCACTTATCATATATTTGTTATTGATTAGCACCATGCTCCAACCATGTTTTCCCCTAGTTTCATCTTTTTATCCATTCAAACACCTCAGAGCTTATTGTCCGGACAGCAATATATGGAACCCTATTTTTGTTCTCTTTCCTTTGATCTCGTCTCTTGCTTTCCTTCACAATAATTATGATATCGAACCGAAGAGTTGCCTTAGTCTTTTAACCAAAGATTACATGAACCGAGGAGTTGCCTTAGCAAAAAATCTCGGTTGATCTTACCCTCTTCTTCTTTGGTCGAATTGCCTCGGTAGCGGCGATGAAGGCCCTCCAAAAACGAGATCCCGGTGCTAAGGTTCTTGGGGCGGACGAACGACCCCGATCTCTCGCCCCTCGCTGTGAAGTACCGGATCCCACCGTGGGACCCGTCGTGCTTCCCTTCGCCGTCGTCCCAATCAACGCCGACCCACTCTCCGGCGTACCCCTCGACCGCTCCCACGTACCTCACCGTTCCGATCCGCCGGGGATTGCCGACGGCGTGGACCCTCTGGCCAATGCGAAGCCCCACGCCCTCCGCCGCCGGAGGCGCCGCGGCCCGGCCATTCGGCCCCGAGATCGGTTGGCTCTCCGAGAGCTCGTCCATCGCCGGGGGCAGAGGAGCCGAGAACCGAAAGGGTTTGTGTTTTGCGTCGGTGGGAGTTTATGAAAGGCTTTTTCAGGGCAGGAGAACGCCTACTGAATCGCCATTCTTTAGCTTAGATCTAACGGCGATTGTTTTCTTAAGCTATGATTGGGAAATCATCGAAACGGGACGGATTGGTCCACCGACATTGCTTCAACGGATTTATTATTTATATTATTTTTTAAAAAAAAGAGATATAGATATTTTATTTTTATCCTCCTCCTTTCTTTTTCCCTGGAAGGATGACATCGAGAGGCAACAACAAACCAAGGGAAGCTACATTGACACGATGACGATGAAATAATGAATTAAGAGAAAAAAGGTAAAATCAGTAATATTAATATTATAAATAATAAAATATTATTTTATTATTTTTTAATAAAATTATCAATAGTAAAAGAATTGTTAATGGTAAAAAGGGTCTGTTAAACTTCTCTTCTCTAACTAGTGGGTTGATATTGGGTTCACATTGCAAAAAAAAGATAAAAAGTGATTTCGAAATGAGTGGAAGCTTTGTTCTCTCTCTTGTTGAGCTTTCGATGCCTAAGAGCGCTTTTTGTTCGTCTTGCGGTTCAAAAGCCAAAAGCCTTCAACACACACTTCTAAGCCTTGAAGCTCCACTACAAAGGAGAAAGGGACCTCCTCGAAGCGAGATCATGTCACCATAAATCTTGAAGTATTCTACTATTGCTTAAATCTTAGCATGGAATGATCATGAAACTTCTACAAGTGAATTGTTATCGCCTAAATGCCATTAATTGGCTTCGTTGCGACTTGATCTTGTCATAAAAGTATAATTCATCCGAGTGGCCCTTGTGGTGGTCGGGCGAGGAAGTCAGTATTGGGGACAAATTGGCTGAAGTAGTTCCGAGGTAGCCTCTGAGCATCCGAGGTTTCGCTGGGGCAGGCTCTAGTCTCCTCGGGGGTCCTACATAAAAGGTCGATAAGTGATTCTACCATTTTCCTAAATCTTAAGCATTCTACCATCGCTTAAATCGTAGTATGGAATGATCGTGAAACTTCTACAAGCGATTTGTTATCGCTTGAATGCTGTCAACCGAGGACTGATATGACTCGATCTTATCCTAAAGGCATAAGGCCATCCGGGTGGCCTCTAAGCATTCCAAGGTTGAGCTAGGGCAGGCTCTAGCCTCCTCGGGGATCTTGCACAAAAGGTTGGTAGAGGGATTTTCCCACCTGACCCCTTTGACAATTAAGTCAGTTTTATAGAGTAGTGGAAATATAGGAGGTTTAGGGTATGGGGTCTCAGTCCATATTCAGGTATCGGTGACCAATTTTTATACTTGGGAAGCCTGAGGGAGACTACAACTGATCTATACATCTTTTTGTGGCATATTTTATATGGACAGTTGATCCGTATGGCCCCCCTATGGTATGTCAATAATAGAAGACAACATAAGGGGAATCACTTGTTAGCCTTGACGACTAACAAGGTTTAGTCGGACCATAGGGAAATCTATGGGTGACATCACATGCGTAGCGGAAGAACATAAAACAAAAATATCAAATTTCCTAAAATGTGTTCATTATTGTGCGAAATTGATACATAAACCTCATGAAACTAAAAACTACGTGTGAGAGTGTTGTGTTACTTAGAAAAATTATATATCTTTGAATTCCTATAGACTTGTGAGAGATGATGAAAGAGATCAAGTATCCTCATCTCTAGTGGTGATCTACATGACAAAGGCTATAAAGATGCTCCTCAAATCGTTACCCAAATCTTTACACCTGCTATCTAAGGAGGAGAAGGGAAGAGGAGAACAGGAGGTGACAACTAAGAAGCCTAGCTTATAACTCTTTAGTTCTCTCATATTTATAGAGGTTTTTTATCAACTTAACCCTAATGGATCCTGCCCTATTGGGTATTGGATCTACATCCAACTACTTAAGCCTCTTATATTACTATAACTCTATCCAATAAGATAGAGACTCCGACGGATATCTCATATCTGAATATTTACTCGTCGCAACATCTACCATATGTGTGTGGGCTCAATATCGAGTTGGTCATGAGTCATACCTGTCAGAACTCCTTCTAATTCAGTGAATTATTATCCTCATAATAATTCACTTGACTCATCGACTACGGACGTACTAGGCTACTACGCTGTAGTCCCCAGACGATATAAGAGAATCTAATCCTTTGGACCTATCTATTCTTGGTTACCATATACATATTGTTGGGAAATCTTGGGGGCGACATCACATGTGCAGCGAAAGAACAAGAAAACAAAATCCCCGATTCCCAAAAAGATGTTCGTCGTCGTGCGAAGATTGGTGCGAAAAATCCGCGAAACATAAAACTGCGTATAGAGTAGATTGTGTTACCTAGGGAGATCGTATATCCCTGTTTCCTTGCAGATCCTTAGGAGAGGGTGAAGGATGTCAAGCGTCCTCCTCTCTAGCGGTGATCCACACAGCAGGGTTGCGACGACGCTCCTCAGGACTCCAGACCTGCTCTGAGGTGGAGAGGAAG